CAGACAATTTCAGTGTCATGCAATGGTTGCAAGTTCGGGCTTGCTCGAGTGCTTTTGGGCAAGGGGCTTTCCCTAGTTATTACATCAAGCTCACACTTCGGCCTTCTTTTCATTGGCTGATGTAGTTCCTATGCCATACTATCAAAGTCCGTTCTATAATGTATGCGTGTACATGTTTCATGTGCTCAAGAGCTTCCTTGCCACGTTGTCATCCACAATAATTACCTACAAGAAATTATCATACTGACTGAAATATCTCGCGCTCATCAGTAAAGTAACGGTGAGTTTGCCTCTTTGCTTTCTCCTTGGTGTTTTTCTAGTAAAACACCAATACCTGAAGAGCCTTAAGATGAAGACAAACGTTTTTAGCCTGAGTTTAAAACTTGTTACGCAACAAGTACTCAAGCAGAATCTAAAATAAGGCTCGGCATATAGCGTATCGAAAATAGATTTGCTGTCACTGATTCTGCGGGATGCGAATCTCAAAAGTCAAAGGAAGACTATTTGGTGATTGTGAGAGACAGTTTAGGACAAGTGAAAGAGCCGGGGAGCAAAAATGAATAAAAAGAAAAAACGAATGTATGCCTGCTTGGATACTTGGGTGATTCACAAAAGGTCACGATACATTCCTTGGCATTCTTTAGCACTGAAGCTTCTCTTTTAATCCCCTATTTCTTCCTCTTGTGGTACAAACCGTGACATACGGCCATACTGGCACAATTAATGATCAAAGAACTTGGCCAAGCCAGCGTAGGGTTTTGATTTGTGAAACGACAAAACAGTGCTGAATGCAAAATCTTTTTTTGTCGCCAACATAGCCAAAAGTTGTATTGAGCCTAAGTGGATTTACTATTAATAGCTGTCAAATATTAATAGAATTTGTATTTATGTAGACAAGAATTCGAACTGGACCAAACCACACTGTTAGGTGTAAAACCAGATATATTTTTGGCGGTAACGTAATGATCACACTTGAGTTTCAAACCAAGCTTGGTTATTTTAATTTGGCTCTTCGGTCATATCTTTCGCCGCTATAAAAATCATTAACACAGTAATAGCAGCCAATCTTAATAGTTTATGTCACGGTGTGCAGAGCCATTCCTGACAATAAACACAGGACGGGTTCGTTGACTGCTCTTGGATATGATTTTAATAATCTGAAGTTTAATCAAACTTGTCGCTAAAAATACGACCTGCCGACAACTGTTTTAACTGTTTTCACAATTGCTAAATGAGATCAATATTATCACGGCCTAATGTCTTAAAATCTAATCTACCAAAGATTTTGTCAATACTACTATCATCGGTCGATAAGGACGTTTTTGAATTCGCCGAGAACAAAGAAAACGCCGGAAAAGAGCAGTTGCCATGGACACTTAATAGTACAGGCCCGGAGCGCAACGAGATTTTTTGTGTATTTCCACGCTACTCTTGAGTCAGCTGGTCACGTACGTATTTCGTCAGTATTCTTTCGAAAACTGAAAATTGGTCATAAATGTTAAATACTTCAGTTACAGCATACGGCGAGCTTATGTTTGATTTAGAGCTGGGAACACAGCAAAACACGTGGAATTGACCTGGTTTATGGTGGCTCAGCTCTAAACACTGCCAGACATAACTTTAATCCTAGGTGTCGAAATATTTGTGCATTTATGGACGAGTGCCTTTACTTTCTTGCTTAAGAGTTCTCAGGGTATTTGCCACAGGCGATATTACATGTTTCTTCCTGTAAAGTGAAGTGCGAAAGTTAAGAAGAATTATCGTCAGGGTAAGCAGTTTCGGAGTCATTGTTCTTTTCCGATTGTTAGTGGTCGTACAAATGTAGACAATGTACATACCATGAGGGCACTGAATCCAAAGTAGCTTTGGTTTGACTTTAATTCTTTCGAAGTAAGAACGACTAGAGTACTAATCCGTGCAAACAGTGGTGGCTAGAAATGGTAAAGAAAAGAGCAGAAAAGAGAATTTTACATGCATGTCCAATTTAAGTTTCATCGCGACTCCTATCGAAAGCTTTGCATAAATTTAATGAAAACCTCTTCAAAACGTCAATCAATTTGTAGCTGAATTTGGGAAACATCATGCAAAACAGCTTATTAATAGCCAGCCGTTACTACGACTCGATCTGTTAATTAATCTAGGATATTCAAAAAACGTATTTACATGCCAGATTGTCCGAGATCAGTGATGTTGGCGTTTTTCGTGGAACTGACCATACTCCTTAAAATAACGGTAAGCAAAGAACTTTTGCTGACAATTCATCTTGGCGAGCAGATATCATACAAACCTAATTAATTCTACATTTCCCACTTTTTGCTACTAGGAATTACATAGACAGAACAAAAACGATATAGTGACATCTGAAATGCTTGTAACCCAAATGTCTTTACAGCGATTTTGGCGGTTTTCAAGCTTGGTTTTCGATTCTCGATTTCTACCTAAGTGAACGCTTGACTGGTTAGACCACGCGGAAAATGGGCGCGGTTTAGCGTCTCGGTGAATGTCAGCTTTCTTCTTTGTCACCTGCCTCCAGGAATAGGGGCTGAAAGCCTTAGTTTACTTGTTCTCACATTGACGGGTTACACTTATGACTTAGTGTAAATCTCAAGCAGTTTGAAACCTGTCGTATCGCAAATGCGTTCGTGGGCAAACGACAAGACATCGTACGCTTCATTGATAATAACAAAATTTAAGGGAGCTTACATATCTCTTTCTTAGATCGAACCGAAATCTGTAATTCTTTTGTCATTGTTGTTTTTTTTTTTATTTAAAAAATAGTATTAATCAGCAAGAAATATATCTGGAAGATACATTGAACCGGGTGGATCGGTTGAATGCCGCAAGCGACTGCGCCAGTATGCGGTTTTGATTCGTCATCAACTCGGCATCTGGGGTCGAAAAAGACCTGTATCGAAATGCTTTGAAAACAGCACATGTTTCCCTAGTTTAGATACCTCGCAATTGCAAGCAGCTTGTTTTATTCCCCTGTTAATGAGCCAAAGTATCTTTGAATTTTGCGTTGCTTTATAACAAGCCTTATGAGGCTGCTTTAGCTTTAAGAACCGTATTTAGATGGCGTGATCGACGAAGGAGGCCTTTCGTGCTTTCATAATGTTTGACCTTTAGACAGTTTACTGAGACTGCGTCAGGCCTGCTAAGAAAATAGAAATCACTTTTAAAAAGGAATACCTACATGAAAGCAGACTTAATTCTTTAAATAAATATCGATCTATGATGACGTTAGACCGCAAATATTAATAAAACCAGGTCCATTTTGATCAAGAAACAAAATCTACTAAATTTAAAGTCTGGTTTGCAATTAAGTGTAAACATTGCAAAATAATTTCGCAACACTGAATAATTATTCACTTCTAATCAAAGAAAAAGATTTTAAGAGAAAAACCGGTGCAGCTAAAAAAAATGCGAATATTAGGCATTCGTCAACGTTCTTGCTTTTATAAGGGATGCGTGTGTCTTTCACGCGCATGCTCCGATCAAGGTAAAGCTTAGGCTAGAGAGTGGGATACATATATAATGTTTGCACAGTCTTAGGTTCAAGATCTTTTTACAGGCCACATTTCGTGAAATCAATCAACAATCGTGGTAACAACTACAACAGCAGCAAAAGAAAATCGAAATACAACAAAAGCAAAAACAAAAACAAAACGAAAAGTAAGTTGAAAAGCACAGACTAACAAGGTGGAGAGCCTTGACCTGAGTGACTAGTTTGTTTGTTTTCCTGCCATTTGTTTTTCTGTCTTCTTCTTCTTTTTTTCTTTTTTCTGAACAAAAGGCTCTAAGGACGTATCCAAAGCATTAAGCAGGCATGCTAGAAGGTCTTATAATTATTACTTTTATTATTTTTAGATGGCAGCAGTTGATGACTGCCAAGACATGAAATACTGGAATGGCACACACTGTGTTCAATGCAGTGGATGCCCACGTGGCTTTGGAGTTAGAACAAAATGCACATCAAAACAAGATACAGATTGTCAACCGTGTTGGCCTGATTACGACTACTCCAACACTACTGGATATGAGAGATGTATCCTGTAAGTCTCTAATAACTTCAACAGTTTTCTTTTCAAAAGTATACATAGACCAATTTCGATATATT